AATGCTTTACTTAAATTTCTTAGACATGATTAGATACTGAGAAAAGTGAGTCGATTTTTGGACAGTAAGGGATTGGCAAAACACAAGAGAAGTGTGAGGAGGAGCACGACGCRCGGGTTTATGYAACAMGAGCGCTGTGGAGCTTGAGAGACGCATGCAACAAGCGTGGGAATACGAGACAAATACACCAAATTGAAATGGCGACCAATTTGAATAACTATTGTTCTGGACTTACTAGCCTCTTGTTCATGTGGACAAATATAAGAGTTTTCACATGTATGAGAGSCTAGGTCAGTCCTGAACAATRGCATTGTGCATTCTCCTTGYTTCAACGTTTRAAGTCAGGTGGARAGATACGRAATCTCCAACGTGACTGCGCTGTGAATCTTACCAGGTTCGTTATAGGGTGAGATTATTACATTCACTTTTCCTTTTCTTTTGTAGTTGGCAACAGCTTGAACAAGGTTTCTGACTTGTGGTATTTCTTGAGTCATGCTTCCAGTCGTGTCGATAACAAACACAAGGGACACGTCTCCATTGACGGCAAGAAAATCCTATAATTTTGTAAAAACAAAAAAGATGAACTACTGTATAACTTAGATGAACCCTTTGAAACGATAGCAAATCTAATCYATTATGTCACTGATGACTAACCACGCATTGCCACTTCTTTCCATATGTTGGATGTGTTTTTGAAAACGTGCTGCAAAGTACGTTTACTTGCATGGATCAAATCAAAGGTCTTATTTGACAAATTGCAAAGTGGGTTAAAAGACAGTCAAAGAATAAGCTGTCGTAGTTACATACAGAAATGCACGCCAGCTAGGAGCCACCTTAAGACAAGTCTTATGATTGACATCTTCAAAAGAAATAGTTACCCCACTTGTTAAAGTGATTTACTCACTCTGAATTTTTCTTCTCCAAGCGTGTCTTTTATTTCTTTTATAACAATATCACCAGTTCCATGACAGTCTTCTAGTTTCTGTAAGATGAATCCTAACATGGTCCTCGCGTAAATGCGTCCATTTTTCTCCAGTGATTTCCTTATTCGTCCAATGAGGTCCTGCTTGTTCAGTGTTAGATGTGATGGCAGCCCTTTTGCTGCTTCTATGCCTT